CCTGGAATGTCTGCAGCGGTTGTTGGGGGAGGTGGTGGTGAGTCACTAGTTGGGGGGCTGGAAGAACGAGTAAACCTTGAGAGAGAGCTCTTCTGCTCCTCCAACTCAGAATCCAGAAGACACCAGGAGGTGGGAGCCCGGTTCTCTGCCACAGCATTGCCCATCACCTCTTCTCTTCCTTACTTTATTTTTTAAAAACGGTCTTACTCACATGGCGGCTAAGAACCCTCCTTAACTCGAGTTCTAGGGGAATCTGAATCGCTCTTCTGACCTCCAAGGCATTGCAGGACACAGGTGCGCTCACGTATATGCAGGCAATACACTCATACACATAAAATAAAAATAATAAATAAAATATATTTTAAAAAATGGCCTCACTCTATAGCCCAGACTATTCTGGAACTCATAGGTAACTCAGGCTGGCCTTGAACTCATAGTGATCTTCCCATCTCAGTCTCCTGAATGTTGAAATTACAGGCATGGGCCACTATACCTAGCTTTGTGAGTGTGTGTGTGTGTGTGTGTGTGTGTGTGTGTGTGTGTGTATTTTTGGAGACAATGTTGCATACTGTAGCCCAAGCTAGCCTGGAACTCACTATATAACCTAATAGCTTCAAATTTGCAATCCTTCTGCCTCAGGCTCTAAGTGCTGGTATTACAGGCATGACCCACCATACCAGCTTCTCTCTACTTCATCTTGAACCTCCGGTTTTCAGGACTCACCATCATCCCCAATGCTACATGTTCTCTCCACCTGCCTGGGTCTGGGACCAGCTGGGGCATCCTCCTGGCTGTGTTCTCCACCCCCTCACACCCTGAACTTTTCTGGAATAAAACAGAAAGAAGGGGCCTCTACTCCCTCCTGAGTTTGCCCCTCCCCCATCCCAAACCACACAGGACTCTGCACACAAGGGCACTGCTCCTTTTGGTATGCTCTGGTATGCTGAACTGCCATTTGGATTTATTGAACTATTTTGATCAAGTCCAGCAGGCCTGTGCTGGAGGGTGTTCAATGGTGGGGTTCATGCAAAGTCCTGGGTTTGATCCTCAGCACCACAAAAAAAAAAAAAAAAAAAAAAAAAAAAGTCCAGCAGGCCTTTCCAATCCCCATTCTAAGATCAGCTTTTCCTTTTTTTTTTTTTTTTTTTCATGTGCCCTGAGGGGGTCTGTGTGCCTCCCTGGGGAATCTGGCTTGTTCTCAGATCTCCTCCTGATCTCCTCCAGCCCTCTCTGTTGTAGCTCCTAGGAAGCCTGGAGACTTGTGACTCTCTGCATGTTCCCTTTCCTGCCTGCTCCTCCTGAAGTCCAGGACACTTTTGTTTGTTTATTTCAGAGCACAAGATCACTTCATGATCAAAAAGAAACTTTAAAAAAATATTTTATTAGGTGTGGATGTGCACACCTTTAATACCAGCACACAAAAAATTTTTATTTATTTTTATTTATTATTTTTTTCAATTTATTAGTGTATTATTTGGTCTTTTTGAGACAGGGTCTCCCTGTAGCCGCAGCTGGCCTGGATTTCCTATGGAGACCAGGCTGGCCTCAAACTCACAGAGATCCTCCTGCCTCTGCCTCCCGAGTGCTGGGATTAAAGGCTTGTGCCACCACACCCAGCTATTTTTATTTTTTATGTGTATGAGTGTATTGCCTGCTCGTATGTGAGGGCACCCATGTCATGCAATGCCTGTGGAGGCCAGAAAAGGGAGTTGGATCCCCTAGAACTGGAGTTGTGGACAGTTGTTAGCTGCCATGTGGGTATTGGGAATCGAACCCAGGTCCTCTGGAAGAACAACAACTGTTCTTAACTACTGAGCCATCTCTCCAGCCCCAAAGAGAAACTTCTGATGGTGGTACACGCTTGCAATCCCAGTCCCCAGAAGACTGAGGCCAAGGATCAAGTATTTGAAGCCAGCCTGAGCTACAAAGAAAGACCCTGTCCCAAAACACAAACAAGCTGGGTAGTGGCTCACTACCAAAATTGTAGGACTCGGGAAGCTGAGGCTACAAGGATCTCTATGGATTAGAGACAGTCAGCATGGGTTATATAGTAAATTCTAGGACAGCCTGGGCTACAGAGTGAGATTCTATCTCAAAAAGGCGAAAGAAAAACACACAAAACAAAACAACAGAAAAACACCACCAAGTAAGGCAGTATATACCTGGAATCCCAGCACTTGGGAAGTGGAGGCAGGAGGTTCAGGAAGTCAAGGTCATTTTCAGCTACAGAGCTGAGCTACACGAGACCCTGAGCTACACGAGACCCTGACTCAAAAAATAAATAAAATAAAATAAAAAAAGGTGGACATAGTGGCACACCCCTATAACCCAACACTCAAGAGGCTGAAGCAGGAGAATTGCCATAAGTTTCAGGCCAATCTGTTCTACAATGGTAAGTTCCAGGCCAGCCAAGGCTATATAGCAAAGACTGTCTCAAACAAACAAACAAACAAACAAACAAAATGAAATATATGTAAACAAGCAACAAAAACAAAGAAATCAAGAGGCAACTGGGAGGTGGTTGCAGAGGGAGCCAAGATGGAGATTTACGATATCATCAGCCTTCAGAACACATCTACAGAGTACCCAGTGGGGCTCATCATCACAGAAACTTACCATAGAACCTTCCTTGACTCTGGTTTGTCACCAGACTCTGGGATCCAGGTAATGATGCCCATTTTCTTGAATACCCACTGGTTTCAGGCTCATATGCCCAGGCTGTGATACCAGCCTTTCTGAGCCCATTACCTATGTTGTTAAACAGGAAGCAAGATTATAAGAAGCCCCTGCTTCCTTTCTGGAGATCAAGTCTACCCTGATGTCTAATTTCAGCCCATTGGTAGCTGGGAGATGTAATGTGAAGTGCAGTCCCAGGGAAGAAAGTTGTCTAGATGGTGATCAATGGCTGAGTAGGTGGGGTAGGTTTCTAGGAGGCAGAGGTGAGCAGTCTTCCCAGTCCAGCGACCTCTCATCCCACACAGTCACTTAACTCCATGCTGGATCTGCCACTGACACCATCTGTACACCATCTAACCCTAACCCAGAGAGCCCTGGGAGGAACCATGGCAATATATATTATATATTGGTCTTTTTGAGACAGGGTCTCCCTCTAGCCCCAACTGGCCCAGAACTCACTATATAGACCACACTGGCCTAGATTTCTTAGAGATCCACCTGTCTCTGCCTCCAAGTTCTGGGATTAAAGTTGTAATGCCACCATGCCCAAGACCCTTTTTTGTTTTTTTTGCAACAGGGTTTTACTGTGTACCTCAGGCTGCCCCCAAATTTTCAGCAATCCTCCTGACAGCCTCCTGAGTGCTTGCCTTATAAATCTTTACAAAGGGCTGGAGATGTAACTCAGGTGGTAGAGTGCTTGCCTGGGGTTCAATCCCTAGCACTGTATAAATTGGGCATGAAATCTGGGTTCAAACCCCAGCACTATTTAGGTAGTACACATCTGTAATTTCAGTACTCAGGGGGTGGAGGCAAGAAAGTCAGAAATTCAAGGACATCCTCAGCTATATATCAAATTTGAGACTAGCCTGGACCACATGTCTCAAAGAGGAGAAAAGATCTTTGCAGGATTTGTATCTACTCTACCATTCTTGAGTCCCCAACATGTAAATGTGCCTTGTTATCTCATGCCATACTGCTCCTAACCAGAAAACACATGACTGCAAGCTCCCAGTTTGCCCAGAATGACCAGGAAGTCTCAGGATACTTACCCCTGAGTAAAGTTACCACCGTGCTAACACCATAAGTTATGATCCAGAGCTAGGGTTCAGACCACCATGGTCCCTTCTGTTCCCTCAGAAGTTACCTATGGCTTTGTGAGGGTGCCCCTCCATCAGTGAGTGCTACCCCAGTTGGCCCTCACTAAGGTAACCCTTTCCATCCACAGCATCCAGAAGGAAGTAGGGGAGAGAAGAACAGTCTTGTGCCCAGAAGAGAAAGGGGGAGGAAAAAAGGGGTGATTAGGCTACCCTCCCCACCAGGCAGGCCCCAGATAGCACTGGAGATATCCAAATGTTAATCACCAATTAGCACAGCCCAGGCGGAAAGGGCGACTTCATTAGCTGTACAATGGGCAGGAGCAGTGGGCTTCATTTCTTGAGATAAGAGGCTTTTATGCTAATCAGTGGGTCTGTGATGCCTGGATATAAAGGAGCTGAGGCAGGTTCTTGAAGCAGGATTACCAGGGCCACCAGGTAGAAGGAAGGGACCCCATTCTGTCCTCGAAGAGCTGGAAAGGCGGAGCGGTAAGAAAGAGGCTGTGATGGGGATGGGCTGGTCTGTGAAGATATGATCTCCCCAAGCCTGAGCTGTGGCTCCAGCCACCTCACTCTCTCCTCTATGAGAAACAGGAAGCCAGCTCAAAGGGTTCCTTAGGAAGACCAGGTCTTGCCATATAGGAATACCCCAGGCTACCTCTGGCTTTCAGGGATTGGGAGGAAGTTTTCTCAATGCTCTTCTCTACTGAAGACCAAAATGGGTCTAGACCCTAGAAGAAATGTTCAGGTCAGACTTCAGGAAGAACTTTCCTAAGATACTTAAGCCCGAGAAGAGAACAGGATGGTCTGTATGATTTGCATTTAGGGCAGGAGGGCTGTGATGGCTGAGGTGACAGCTAGTTGGGAAGGTGGGCTGCTATTAATGTTGGAGCGACTTTAAGGGGAAAATTTTGCCAAATCCTATTCCTGTGATATCTGGTGATAGCCAGGGAAGAAGGTTCCCAGTACCCAGGGCTTTGTTGATTTGTTCTAGCCAAACCCCTCATCCTTCCTGTCCCCTGAAGAGTCCAATAAAGCACCGATCAGGGCATCTATTGACCAGGCTCCATGTCCCTTCTAGTCAACTGCACGTAATGCCCGCACCCCAGCTGCCCCCATTCCACCCCAGCTCTCAGCACCTACCCAGGCCCCAGTGTCAGTGACTCTTCAGAGTCCCTCAACACAGTGTGGACTCTTTTCTCTCCCAGCTCAGGGACACAGCCCTGGAAGATGATGGCCATGAAGACCTTCACTCTGCTGCTTGTGCTCCTGTTCCTGACAGTTGGGCTCGGAGAAAAGGAAGATGCTCAGTCCAGGTAGGGGTGGTGGGAGGCAGAGGATTGGCACACAAGCAGTTTGGGAGGGATCAGGGTGGTGAGAGAGGGAGGGACCCTAGGCTGAGAGGAGAGAAGTTGGGGAGAAAAGCCAGCCTGCAACCTGAACACATGACAAGGACAGAACATTTATTGAGAGTGCCTGTGGCTTTGAGAAAGACTGTTCAGTGGCCGAGTCTCTGAGATGGTAGGGTATCCATCATGAACACTCAGATCTTACTGGAGCCTCCTGTTTACCAGACACAGGTCAGAATATACATGAAGGGAGGTTCACAGATGCCTCCTGCCTTCAGGGTGATCACGGACCAAGGGGGACACAGAAAAAATTCACACAGACATGTTGCAAAGCACTGTGAACAAAAACAGAGACCATGACAGAATAAAACTGAGTGAAGCAGCTCATACCTGCAACCTTAGCACTTGGCAGGCAGAAGCAGAGGAGCAAAAGTTTGAGGCTAACCTGGGCTACATAACAAGACCTGGCTCTGTATCAAAGAAAAGAAAAAGAAAGGAAGGAAGGAACGGAGGAAGGAACGAAGGAAGGAAGGAAAAAGATATGAAGGTGAATATAGCTAGGCTCTGATGGTGTCATTGGGACTGAGATGGAACTGGTCTTTCTCAGATGCAAGGACAATCCAGGTACCGTGTAAAGTTAGCGCATGTACAGTGTAAGTGTGAGGGTTAGGCTGTCATAAATATTTTACAAGGGGGCTGGGGCTGGAGAGATGGCTCATCAGTTTAGAGCACTTGCTGTTCTTGCAGAGGACCTAGGTTAGGTTTCCAGCATCCACATGGTGGATCATAACCATCTATAACTGCAATTCCAAGGGATCTGTTGACCACTGTGGGCACAGGCACATGTGATTCACAGACATACATACAGACAAACATATATACAAAATAAAAGTAAATAAAACATTTTAAAAAAATAAATAAATAAAGAATCTGGGTGTGGTGGTGCACGTCTTTCATCATAGCACTCCAGAGGCAGAGGCTGGCAGATCTCTGTGAATTCAAAGCCAGTCTGGTCTATATAGTGTTTTCCAGGTCAGGTGAGGCTATAGGGAAACCCTGTCTCAAAAAAACAAAACAAAACAAAACAAAAAGTTGAGCCAGTCTTGGTGACACATGCCTTTAATCCTAGCACTTGGGAGGCAGAGGCAGGAAGATCTTTGTGAGTTCGAGGCCAGCCTGGTCTGTATAGTGAGGGCCCATCCAACTGGGGCTACAGGGGACCATGTCTCAAAAAGACTAAAAATATTAAGAAAAATATAATGAGAGACAGAAATGGGTGGGGCATTAAGAATAGAGACTCAGAGCCGGGCTGGTGTCACACACCTTGAGTCAGGTGTCAGAGGCAGGCAGATCTTTGTGAGTTTGAAGTCAGTTTGGCCCACATAGTACGTTCCAGGCCAGCTGGGGTTACATAGTAGGACCCTGGCACAAACAAACAAAAACAAAACAAACAACCAGAACAAAAAAACCCAGAGACTTGGGAAGTTGGGTGTGATAGTACATGCCTATATCCTAACACTAGGGAGACTGAAGCAGGAAAATCAGGAGTTCAAAGTCACCTTCAGCTACATAGTGAATTTGAGGGCAACCTGGGATATATCCGACCTTGTCTTGGGATATATGTGACCTTGTCTCCCAGAACAGCAAAAGAGACCTGGGCCAAGACTGACTAGAATCCTGGATTTGTAACCTACACTGTGTGCATCTTGGTTTTCTCATTCACAAAATGGAGACACAGGGACGGGGACTATAGCTCAGTGGCAGAACACTTGCCTGGCATGTGCAAGGTCCTGGATTTGAGTCCTAGGATCACAAAAAAGGCGGAGGGGAAGGGGTTTTACAAATAAGACTTAACTCATAGGGATATGATGAAATAATTTTGTGTACTAAAGTCTTACACGGGCTGGAAATGTAGTTCAAGTGCATGTACTTGCCTAGCATGCACAAGGCACTGTGGGTTCACAGAGACACACACACTCACACACAGGCACAGACACACACAGACACACAGAGACACAAACCACAGAGACATACACACATATTCATGAATACAGACATACCCAGTCACACACACACAAGCACACACACAAGCACACACAGACACACACACATACTATTGGAGGATGCAGTAAGTGGATCATTGAGCCAAGGACAGAGTTGGGGGGTACAGCAGGGGGTTGATCTATTGACGACAGGGTGTCTCCATAAAAATTGGCTCCTGAGAACTAGACCACCTTGTTTCCAGGTGTCTGCCTTCTGTTGGTGACGGTGATTTTAGCCAACATTGTGATTCCTGGCCCCCTCTTGCCCCTTAGATCCCATGCCAAGTTTGGTGGCCCCCGACCTCGAGGCACAAGGTATGCAGAGGGGACTTTCATCAGTGACTACAGCATTGCCATGGATAAGATCCGCCAGCAAGACTTTGTGAACTGGCTGCTGGCTCAGAAAGGGAAGAAGAATGAGTGAGTCATTTTGCACACCCCTCCTGTCCCCCATACCTCCTCTATGTTCAGACCAGGCCTCTTAAGTGGCCACATGGGCTGTGAAGATGCACAGCTCCAGAGACACCTTTCACCAGGTGAGGGTGAGGAGTTGCCATGGCCAGGACCCTGAGACTCTGACTGGGCAACAGTTCAGTCTGGGGCAGAATGAGGGCTGTTCTATCCTTCACATCTAAGGAAAGGAGTTAAGGAAATGTGTGAAGGCCCAGAAAGGTTTGGGGATGAAGGCAGGAGAAGCTGGGCTGCTTCCTGTGGCTGTCTGAAGGTGGTCATTTCAGATTTGCCAACAGACCATCAGTGTACTTCTTCCTTCCTATGCCAAGTCTTGTTCCCTGCTGTTTGGTTAGCCTGGTAGGTTCTGAGAAAACTATCAGTGATGAAGCCAACTGAACACAAGCAGTGGGAACAGTGAGTGGGGGCACGGATGTGTTAGGAAGAGGAAGAGGTACTGTTGTTCCTGGTGTTGATGTATTGAAAGATTCAGGGGTCCCTGGGCTGAGGAACTTCAATTTTCTTCCCCAGCCCACTCACTCCCAAATCGTCCTCTTACTAGCTGGAAGCACAACATCACCCAGAGAGAGGCCAGGGCCTTGGAGCTGGCTGGGCAATCTCAAAGGAATGGAGAGACAGAAGAGCAGCAGGGGTGAGTCTACCATGGGGAAAGAGGAGAAGCAGAGCCTCCCACCCACCCACCTCACTGTGCCCTCTCTCAGACTGCAGTGATTGCTGCACTCCTCTTCCCTTTAGATCCTGAGGGCAGGAACCCATGAGCTCAGAGCTCAGAGACGGGTCTCCAGTGAGCAGAGTCCTGGAGGTCAGCCCAAGCTGAAGGGAGAGTCCCCAGAGGGCTTTCTAAGATTTGTGACTTGGTGTACACATGAATTCACTGAGTCCAAGAGGGCAGGGAAGGACAGACCTTGGACCAGGGCCCACTTTTTCCTGCCAAACCTTAGGAAGGCTATTTGGAAATTAGGGCATCCTCCTAAGGCCAGCTCCCTGAAATCAGCCATCCACCTTGAGGAAGTGGGGAGGTAGCCTGTGGTTCAGAGAAGTTCCCCCTGAGGTTTTTGGATGCATTCTCAGATACTTTTAGAGGTGAGTGAGCTGCCTCACAGCAGAATTGTGCTTGATTTTGCCTGGATTGTAGAACCTACATTCCCCACTTAGGCAGAGCTAGGTGGGGCCTGGCAAAAAGGAGCCTCAGGACCTGAGGGTGGAGATAACCCAGAAGCAGCTAGCAGGGTTGGCTCCCTCTCCCCATCTGCTGGCCCCTTGCTACCCCAGACTTTGTATTTGTTCTCTCTGGGTGACGCCCAGGATGTAAAGCAGGATCCTGCAGTCTGTCTTCTTTGCAGCTCCCAGTTCAAGAAGAACCCCAGTGATGAAGATCTGCTGAAGGATTTGCTGATTCAAAAGCTGCTGGCTTGTATGGTGGATCAGACAGATCTCTGCAGGCTAAGGTGCAGAAACATCAGGCCTAGGAGGTTAGAAATTTGGGCTTCCAGATTACGTGCATATTCAGATGTGTGCTGTGTGTGTGTGTGTGTGTGTGTGTGTGTGTGTATGTGTGTGTGTATGTGCCTGCCTGTGTGTGTATTGTTAGGAACTGAATCTAGGGCTTTGCAATTGCTAAGCAAGTGCTTTACCACTGAGATATCACCCGAGTCCTGTTGGTTGGTTGGTTGGTTGTCGGTTGGTTGATTGGTTGGTTGGTAACTCAGGCTGGTCTGGAACTCCTATGCAGCTTAGGCTGGCCTCAAACTTGCCATTTTCCTGTCTCAATCATAGGATTATAGGTAGGTGTGTGGCACCACAGTCACCATTTCTCATTATCCTCAGTCCTTATTCAGATCTGTGTCCCAATACATGATAGCGAATTACTCTTCAGAACCTCAGAGTTTTCATTAAAATCAAAGCTATTGTGTGGATGTAGTCCTGTAATCTTAGGACTTGGCAGGAAGATCTCAGGAAGAGTGCCCAGAAATTCTAAGACAGCCAGGGGCACATAGTAATAGCCTGCATCAAAAAACAAACAAGCCAGACGTGGTGGCACAGGCCTTTAATCCCAGCACTTGGGAGGCAGAGACAGGCAGATCTTTGTGGGTTTGAAGCCTGCCTGGTCTACATAGTGAATTCCAGGACAGCTGGGGCTACAAGGAGACCCTGTCTCAAAAAGACAAAAAAACAAACAAACAAATAGGGCCTGGAGAGATGGTTTAGCAGTTAAGAGCACTGACTGCTCTTGAAAAGGACCCGAGTTCGATTCCCAGCACCCACATGGCAGCTATGAACCATCCTTAACTCCAGTTCCAGGGGAATCTGAAGCTCTCTTCTGACCTCTGAGGCATTGCACGACACAGGTGAACTCACATACATGCAGAAAATACACTCATACACATAAAAAAAAATAAAAAAAAATAGTAATAAAAAAAGATTTAAGCAAACAAACAAATAAAGAGTCTGCAATCCCTGAATTTGCCAGGCAGAGGCAGGCAGATCTCTGTGAGTTCAAGGCAGCCAGATCTCTGTGAGTTCAAGGTAGCCTGGTTTAGATAGGGAATTCCCAGCTAGCCATGGCTACGCATTGAGACCTAGTCTCCTGTCTCAAAAAAAAAAAAAAAAAAAAAAAAAAAAAAAAAAAAGATAGCCCAGTAAATAATGGCGTGCTTGAAGCTTCTGACCTGAGTTTGATCCCTGGGACCCACATGGTGGAAGAGAACTGGCTCCTTCAAGTTCTCTGACCTCTATGGCATGCATGTCCACACCACAGACAGATAGACACACACATACAACAATTGTTTTAAAAAAGCAATGAGGAGCTGAGGGCCACATGAGAGGCATAGTAAGAGCCTAGCAGTGTTCAGTTCTCAGCTGTCAGTGCCACTGGAATCTCTGGGATTTCCTTCTCAGCTTCCTCCAGGTAAGCTGCTGCTCTGGGTCCTGTGTCCTCTCGCCTGAGCTTAGTTGCCCTGTTCTCAGTTTTTCCTCCTGACCCTTGGGCCATGATACCTTCCCAGGGATGTGAACCCATATTAGTTGGAGTCATATTACCCTGCTGTATAGCCACTGCTGGTGCCAGTGGTCACCAGGTAGGAAATTCTTCAATCTATGCACTTTGTTTCAGAGCAAGGGACGAAATACCCTGGAGATACCCATTGATCCATGATACAGACATCAGAAATGGAGGCCCAGAAACCAAAGCGTTTCCAGACTTTAATACTAGGAACTGGGGAGGGATGAATGAAACACCTCTGAGATATCTGCCAGATGGTAGGAAGGAAGAAGGGGGCTGGAGAGATAGCTCAATGGGTAAAGTGCTTGCTGAACCATCATGAGGACCTGAGTTCAGTCTCTAGAACCCCTGTAAATGCCAGAACCAGAGCAAACCCATAATCCCAATGTTAAGGTGTCAGACAGCTGGTCTAGCTGAATCAACAAGCTCTAGGTTCAGTGAGAGTCTGTCTTAAAAAATAAGGTAGACAGAGAGAGATGGCTCAGCAGTTACAAGCACTTACTGCTCTTCCAGAGAATCCAGGTTCAGTTCCCAGCATCCACATGGTGGCTAACAGCCATCAGAAACTTCAGTTCCAGGGGATCAGTTGTCCTCTTCTGGCCTCTTCAGGCTTTGAATGCATGTGGTGCATCCACATATATGCAGGCAGAATACTCATACACAGAAAATAAAAATATTTTTTTAAAAAGAAAGGTAGAAGCCGGGCGTGGTGGTGCATGCCTTTAACCCCAGCACTTGGGAGGCAGAGTCAGGTGGATCTCTGTGAGTTCGAGGCCAGCCTGATCTAAAAAAAAAAAGGTAGAAAGCAACCTCTGACCTGCACACACATGCATGTACATACATCTGAACAGACACATGCTAACATATAGGCATATATACACATCATCATGTGTGCACACACACACTCCACCAAGTCAGTGGAGGAGGTTAGAAAATCTCTGTAGGAAGTTGGGTCACAGTCTTTGTACTTTTGTGAATGGTTTTGGAAATTTATCATTAAAGAGGTCATTTGAAGGTAGGAGTAATTTAGCTATGGCCTGGTGCCAGGATAAACGATGCACTGACTCCAAGTTGATAATGACCCTCCCTTCTACCCCCTCTTCTCTTGTCCCCCTCATCCAGGTCTTAGTGACTGCCCCAGCCCAGAACAGGACTGGACTCTGCCCTTCACTTATTCAGCTCCTGCTTCCGCCCCACTCCAAAGTCTCCAAGAGAGTCAAAGCAATAAAGTCTTAAGCTGACCTAAATCCTGGTGTCCATTGTGAAACCTCATTCAAATGTCAGCTGAGCGCTCACAGGTTCTTAGTATCTGGGTATGTCCTTGTCTCTCAAGGAAAGGGACACATCCAATTAATCATCTTTGCATTCTACAAACACTGGAAACTCACATAAGCAGGGACTGTGCTAAAAAACACTTTTGAGTTTTTGGCCAGTGGGATCCCATTGGTTCCCAAACATTATAAGCTATTGCCATTGCTCTTAATTACCACTCAGAACTTGACTGTAAGACCCTATTGCTGAAGACAACACACACTGGAGTCCTAAAGCATGGAGAAATCAACTGACCTGGAAGCTTCATATCTACTGGCTAAGTTTTCATAGTGCCGGAAGGTGCCATGCACACTACCAGAGGAGAAAAGTGATCATGAGTCTTACCCAGCTGTGAACTCTGTGAGCTACAAAAACAACTGACCAGGCAAGATAGGCCCACTAGTTCAACAGTGGTATGAATGTTATAGGAGTAAACAACACTCTAGTTGAATTTAAGGCCCATTTCACAAGTTGGAATGCATACCTGGCACTGTTATCAGGGTCAAGAATATGTGGCTAGATAGGTCATGGGCTCTAGGGGAGGACCTGCTACTAATAATCTGATAAGTGGATATAGTGTTAGAATGACTCCTAATGACATTGCTATACCCATAGATTAGTGTATCATTCAGCCCTCATCAGAGACGCTTCTTCTTGTAGTAAAAGGCAGTTATCACAGAGATCCATAATTGATCAACACAGAGTGGATCAGACATGGTGGCTGATGCTTTAATCCCAGCACTCAGGAGGCAGAGGCAGGCAGATCTCTGGGGCCAGCCTACTCTATATGGTAAGTGGCAGGGCAGCTGGGCCTACATAAGTGAGACTCTGATCAAAAACCAACCAACCAACAACAACAACAACAAAAACTCTTTTAAAAAATCACACATAAAAACCATCAAGAGTCTGCAGAGTGTTCTGCTCTAAATGGGATCTCTATATCACACTTTTCCCCCCAAGGCTCAGGAGTCTTTGAGGTAGAGGGGGTGGAAAGATTGTAAGAGCCAGAGATGGTAGGTAACTACAAGGAAAAAGTGTTTTCCAGACAGCAGAACAGTTGCACATATGAACTCACAGCAATATTGACAGCATGCACAGGACCTGCTCAAGCTCAAGCTGGCTGTGTGTGTGTGGTGGGGGGTGGGGGAGTGGACATAAAGTCCTATTTCTAGCTTAAGAGCTATTGGCATATGATTGCTGCTGGAAGAGGAAGAGTCAGTTTTCTGGTCTCTTTTTGAAACAGGGTCTCCCTGTAGACCCCAACTGGCCTGGAATTCACTATGTAGACCAGGCTGGCCTTGAACTCACAGAGATCTGCCTGCTTCTGCCTCCCAAGTGTTGGGACTACAGGCATGTGCCACCATGCCTGGCAGAGTCAGTTTTCTTTAATGGTGTGACCCCTGGTATGTTGACCATGGTCCAGGGCTGGTTCCATATTCAAGAGTATTTGGGCAACACAAATTGGACTTGATGGAGGAAAAAAAGAACAGGAAGGTGGGAGGGTAGGGAGGTGGGGGTGGACCTGGGAGGAGTTGGGGGGAGGGGTGATCTGATCAAAATACATTACATGAAGCTCTCAAACAATAAGAATAATAACAATAAAAAGAATGCATACTGTGCTGCAGAGGACCAGAGCTTTGTTCTCAGCACCTCATCAGGTGATTCATAACCACCTGTAACTCCAGCTCCAGGGGATCCAATAGTCCTCTTTTAGCCCTCCAAGGGCACCTGCACTTGTGCACAAGCATGCGCACACACACACACACATATGCACATAAATAAAAATAAATAATAAATTTGAAAAAAATCAACAAATCAGGCTGGAGAAATGGCTTGGTGCAAAGGTTAAGAACACTGGATGCTCTTGCAGAGGACCTGGATTTGGTTCCCAGCACCCACATGGTAGCTCTCAACCATCTGTAATCAGCTCCAGGAGCTTCAACATCCTCTTCTAGCCTTTGAGGGGACCAGGCATACATGTAGTACACTTACATACATGCAGGTAAAACATTCATATACACACAAAAAAAACCCAAATAAATCCTTTAAAAATTATTTTTTTATTATTAGTGTCCATGTGTGCATTATGTACCACAACACACATGGGAAGTCAGAGGACAACCTTCAGGATTCAGCTCTCTTTCTATTTTGGTCTCTAGTTGTCAGACTTGCCCTGTTTTGTTTGCTCGTTTTTTGTTTGTTTGATTGATTGTTTTGTTGTTGTTATGTTTTGGGTTTTTTTTTCCAGACAAGGTCTGACTGTGTAGTCCTGGTTGGCCTGGAGCTTGCACTGTAGACCAGGTTAGCCTCTAACTCACTGAAATCTGCCTGCCTATGCCTTCTGAGACCTGGGATTAAAGGCACATGACACCTGCCATCTGTTTGTTAGTTCTTTGAAACTGTTTTTCAATTCAACCCAAGCTGGCTTTGAGCCCACAGTTCTTCTGTCTCAGCCTCCTGAGTGCTGGGATTTCAGTCCTATACTGCCATACCTTGCCATGTTAAAGAGCTTAGATTGACTCTTCAGTACAACATTAAAGTTCATGGAGGATTCAAAGCAGGGCATGTAGGGGATCAAATTGCATTCCAAACATTGCAGACATTGGCTCTGAAGACAGAGGGCTACAGTGAGATGAAGTGGGAAAGGAAAACTAGCTGCAGGCTCCTGTAGGACTCCAGGAGATGGATAATGCAGTTTAGATGAGATAGTGGGGTGGAGGAAGTAGATAAACCTTCAAAAGTGCGTCCTTTCATCCTCTAGTTAAAACCTGCAAAGCTGCGAACTGCTGCCTCTCCAGATGGTTTCTGCTCATAAAGGGCAGGGCTCTCTTCTTTTCCACATTAGGAGGCAGAGGCAGGTGGATCTCTGTGAGTTTGAGGCCAGCCTAGTCTACATAGCAAGCTCCAGGACAGGCAGAGTTACATAGTGAGACCCTGTCTACAAAACAAAACAAAACAAAACAAAACACAATCTTAAAAAAAAATAAAACCTTTTAAAAAGACTAAAAGAGACTGGAGAGATGGCTCAGCACTTAAGAGTACAGGTTGCTCTTGCAGAGGACCTGGGTTCGATTCCTAGTACCCACATGGTTTGCTAACAACCATTCTAATTCCAATTCCAGGGGCTCTGACGCCCTCTTCTGACCTCTGAGGGCATTGCATAACACAGGTGCACTTAGATACATGCAGGCAATACACTCATACATGTCAAAAAAAAAAGACATCTAGGCATGGTGGAGCACACCTTTAATCCTAGTACTTGGAAGGCAGAGGCAAGTAGATCTCTGAGAGCTCAAGGCCAGACTGTTCTACATTGCAAATCCAGGCCAGCTGTGGCTACAGGGAGACCCTGTCTCAAAAAGACCAAAAAAACCAAAACTTAAAACCCAGCCCAACCCAGCCAAAACAATGTCACAAAACCAGTAAAGGATACAAACAAGGGGTTAGAAAGATGGCTAGGCAGTTAGAATTACTGGCTACTCTTCCAGAGGACCTGGGTTTGATTCCTAGCACCTGCATGGTAGCTAATATTCATCCCAGATTCCAGTTCCAGGGGATTTCACAATCTCTTCTGGCCTCTTCAGGCTTTGCACAATACAGGTGCAGTTACATATATGCAGGCAAAACACTCATACATATGAAAAATAAAAATAAATAATTTTTTTTGTTCCTTTGAGACAGAATCTCCCTGTAGCCCCAGCTGACCAGGAAGTCACTATGTAGACCAGGCTGGCTTCAAACTCACAGAGATCCATCTGCCTCTGCCTCCCAAGTGCTGGGACTAAAGGCATGCTCCACCATGTCTGGCTAATAAATAAAAATTTTAAGAAAGATACAAACTAAACATGGAGGCAGAGACCAACTTGGACTACATAGCAAGTTCCAAGTCAGGGCTATAGAGTGAGATCTTGTCTTCAAACAACAATGAAGACCAAGGACAAGAACGACACCAAAATCCCACAAACAAACACCTTTATCTTAAAATAAAACCAGAAAACAAGGGCATTAGTTTACAATTAGGATGTGGCCAACAGGATTGTTTGAAGGATTGGGGCAGTAACCTAAACCAGCAGAGAAAAACCACCAGAGGTCTGGAACTGTGGGGATGGAAGAAAATGATGGTGTGAAGGCACTTGGCTCACCAAGGTGGTGTGCGTGCGTGCGTGCGTGTGTGTGTGTGTGTGTGTGTGTGTGTGCACTCATGTGCAGTGTTGAGGATAGAAGCCAGTCCTTAAGCTTGCTAGGCAAGTTCTGAGCATGCTTGCCAAGCACTACACTCTAAGCTACATTTCTACCTCCAAACTCTTCTCAGATTGAATTTAGCCTGAGGGCTGCCAGTTTTCAAACTCTGGACTCCAGCTGGCTTCTAAATTTTTATTTTTATTTTATTATTTTTTTTAATTAATTTTTTATTTATGTGTATGCATGTATTGCCTCTGTGTAGGTAAGTGCACCCGTGTCATGCAATGCCCGCGAAAGACAGAAGAGGCTGTTGGATCCCCTGGAACTGGAGTTACAGACAGTTGTTAGCTGCCATGTGGTTTCTGGGATTCGAACCTGGGTCTTCTGCAAGAACAACCAGTGTTCTTAACCGCTGAGCCATCTCTCCAGCCCCCTATTATTATTTTTTAATACTTTATTTATTATTTTTATTTTGTATGTATGTGTGTATTGCCTGCATTTAGGTAAGTGCACCCATGTCGTGCAATGCCTGAAGAGGGCAAAAGAGCCTGTGGGATCCCCTGGAACTGGAGTTATGGAAGGTTGTTAGCTGACATATGGGTGCTGGGATTTGAACCTGGGTCTTCTGCAAGAGCAGCCAGTATTCTTAACTGCTACTCCATCTCTCCAGCCCCCTAAATTTTTTGTTTTATTATCATTGTGTGTATGATGTGTGTTGGGGGACATGATTGTGCCTTAACATACGTGTGGTGGTCTGAGGACATTTTAGGGAGTCAGAACTCAGGCCATCAGGCTTACACAGAGAGTGCCTTTACCTGAAAAGGCATCTTGTGAGCCCTACAATTGATTCTATGTTCTCATCCAGCTCTGATATCCTTTGTTTGCTCTCTTCTAATTTCTGAAGGCATCTGAAGTCTGTACCATGCAGTTTAGGGGACATCTTTGCTCAGAGAATTTTGTTGTTTATTTATTTAATTTAGTCATTCCTCTTTCCCCGCTTTTTCTTCACTTTTTAAATTACATTTTTGTGCATTTCATATAACAGATCTTAATCAAATTTAGACCCCTCACCCCTCCTTGATACCCAAACTCCTCTACCAGATTTCAGGTATTCTGTCATATATGTAAGTACCCAGATGTTCCTTAGTGCAAGTTCATCCATTGGAGTCTAGTCAGCATATCTAGTTACTCCCTTAAAGAAGATCTACTCTCCCTCACTCCATTCCCCCTTTTCTTGTGATGACAGGGATAAGAACCCAGCACTTTAACACTGAACTACACCTCTATCCTTACTGTTTTTAATTTTTAAACATTTATTTTTTCATATCATTATGGCAGAAACCAACCTGCCATAATGATATGATTTTATTTTTATAAAGTTTCTTTTTTTGTTTGTTTTTTTTGAGACACTGTCTCTCTGTAGCCCCAGCTGGCCTGGAACTCACTTTGTAGACCAAACTGGGCTGGAACTCACAGAGATCTGCCTGCCTCTGCCTCCCAAGTGCTAGTATTTAAGAGCAGCCAGTGTTCTTAACGGCTGAGCCATCTCTCCAGCTGCCCTATTTTACAGATTTAATTTTATTTACACATGTGCATGTGAATGTGTGTATGCAAGGTCAGAAGAGAGTGTCAGATCCCTTGGAGTTCTAGAGTTATAGGAATTTGTGAGAAACAAATGTGGGGGCTGGGATCCAAACCCTGATCTTCATGATAGAGCAGCAAGTGCTCTTAACCTACCAGGGAAACATCTCTCTACTCCCTACATTTATTTATTGTATGTGTATATCTCTTGGCATCATGTACCATGGAGCTCTTGTTTTAGTCAGAGAACAACTTTCAGATGTTGATTCTCTCCTTCCAACTATGTGGGTTCTGGGAATCTAACTTAGGTCATCATGCTTGGCAGCCAAGGCAAGTGCTTTTTTCTGCTAAGCCAGCTCAGTAGCTCTCTTATTATCTATAGTGAAGGACTCAGATTTTATTTTTCAATACTTTATTGTTTATTTTTATGTGTGCGTGTATTGTCTGTCACTATATGTAAATGTAACCTGTCATGCAATGCCTGAGGAGGTTAGAAGAGGGCATCAGATCCCCTGAAACTGGAGTGACAGCTGATTGTTAGCCCCTCTGTGGGTGCTGGGAACTGAACTTAGGTCCTTTACAGAATAGCCAGCGCTCTTAACAATTGAGTCATCTCTTCAGTCCCACACTCAGATTTTATTAAAAATACGTTTTATTTCTTGAATTTTGTGTTTGTGTGTGTGTGTGTATGTATGTCTATTGTTTGTGTAAGTGCTTGTACACATGGAGGTACAACCTCAGGACCCACCATCTTGGCATTATTTATTTATTTATTTATTTATTTATTTATTTATTTATTTAAGCACACCTTAAGCATGCCACAGTTCAAGGGTATAGAGATGAAAGGACAATTTGCAAGAGTCAGTTCTCTCCTTCTACTATGTGTATCCCAGGTATTAAATTCAGGTCTTCAGGCTTGGCTCTCTTGTTTTTGTTTGGGTTTTTTATTTGCTTGTTTTTTTTGAGACTGGGTTTCAAGTAGCTCAGGCTGGCTTCTAACTATGTAGCCAGATCTGGCTTCGAACTCCTGATCCTCCTGTCTCTCAAATGCTTAGAGTTGTGTACCACGATGATCCATTAGAAATTACCTTATTTATTTATTTATTTATTTATTTTTGAGACAGGAGCTTACTATGTATGTAGCCCTGGATGGCCTAGAATTCACTGTGTAGACCAGGCTGGCCTCGAACTCACAGACATCCACCTGCCTCTGTCTCTGGAGTGCTGGGATTAGAGGCATGCACCACTGTGCCCAGCCATAATTACTTTTTTAAAAAATATTTTTTATGTGTATGTGTATATTGCCTGCATGTAGGTTAAGTGCACCCCTGTCGTGCAATGCCTGCAGATGACAGAAGAGACTATCGGATCCCCTGGAACTGGAGTTATGAACAATTGTTAGCTGCCATGTGGGTGCTGGGATTCGAACCCCGGTCTTCTGCAAAAACAGTGTTCTTAACGGCTGCGCTATCTCTCCAGCCCCCATAATTACTTTTTTTTGGTCTTTTTGAGACAAGATCTCCCTGTAGCTGCAGCTGGCCTGGATTCACTAATGGAGACTAGGCTGCCCTAGAACTCACAAGATCTGCCTGCCTCTGCCTCCCTAGTGCTGGGATTAAAGGCGTGCACTACTACGCCCGGCAAGCCCCCATAATTACTTTTTTTGGAAAATATATTTTAGTGATTCTTCATGATAGAACTTACTGTCTTGGGCTGAATTCTATGCCTGAATTCACATAAAGATGGAAAGAACAGAATCCACGAAGTTGTTCTCTGACCCTCGAATGGGCACCGTGGGACTCCTGTACACACACACATCACATACACACAGAAGCAATAAAGAAAAATAAAAAGAACTTATTGTCTTGCAGAGAAGTTTGGTTCTAAATTTCTTTGGTCTTGGATGTCTGAGGGAAGTGTCAGAGTCAAAAAGTTTTTTCCCTTCATTTGTACAGTGCTCTTTCTATGGGCCGGGTATTACAAAAGGCATTTTGTAAACATGTTTTTAAAATTATAATCTCATCTAAAGCCTCATTTTAGCCTTTTAGGAAAACATAGTAATAGGTATTAACCATGCACCACACTGCCACCATGAGGTAGAAGTCCATGCAGTTAAGCCTCCTGGCCACAAGGACACAATCCACTCTGCCTTAACTGAGCTTATCGCTTGGAATCACTTGCAGAGATTCTAACTTGTGTCAAGAGCTGACTTGCAGTTAAAAACTTAAACCCATATGGCTTATATGCAGTTCAGTAATTTAAGAGATTCTCTGATCTCTTGTAAGAATACAATAATACCAACTTCTGAATTCGAGGATCGTGAGAAAATAATAAAGCATGTTGTGGAGTGTTTAACACAAAACGGTGGTAATTTTGAATTATGTGATATTTTAAAAAAAGATTTATTTGTCCTACTGGCTTTTACTCAATACGACACATTCAGCCGGAAGTGGTGGTGCACTCGGGAGGCAGAGGCAGGAGGAGGCCTGCGAGTTCAAGGCCAGCCTGTTCTAAATAGCAAGTTTCAGGCCAGCCAGGGCTAACATGGTGAGACCCTTTCTAAGGGGGAAAAAAAGAAAAAAAAAAAAGGCACCTTCCATGGCTAACACAGAGCCTGGTAGATGACCAGGAACATCTGCTGCCCGGCAGCCGCGGAAGCAGCAGGACCCCAGCCGCCGGCGTTGATGGGATGCTCGGGACAACAGTAGACGTGCAGGGTCTGGGCCTCCGCGGTCACCGGGGTAAGGAGAGCGCGGCCCCCAACTAAAGGCGGGGCTGAGGACCGTGGCCGGACGCTCTTCATCCCCGGCGGCAGGAAATGAGAGTGGAGATTTCCGGCGCGCACAGATGACGCACGGCCCGGGCTTCCGCATTGGGAGCTGGAGGTGGAACCCGGGACGCCGAGAGCTGGGGTCCGGGTAGTGGAGCGGCCTGCGGGCCAGGGGTGGTGATGCACCGCCGCGGGGTGGGAGCCGGCGCCATCGCCAAGAAGAAGCTCGCCGAGGTGAGCCCGCGCCTCACCCCCAGAGGCCTGCGGGCCCCCGGCGCAGAGTTGCTTTAAATCGTATGTGGCAGAGTCTATGGAAGACAGACTTCCCGGACGTCCGGGAAGGAGCGCATATCGGAGTGTCAGGATCCCCAGACCCCCAGCCTTGTCATCTTCCCAAGATTTGGCCACCGACGGAAGCCGTCGATTCTGCTCCCACCCGTGTTACCCGTAAAAGCCATTTAAGATAGACCCTCCCTTTTCGTACTTCAGCTGTGGCAGCACAGTAATGGGAGCCCAGCGCCCCCCAGGCTCAACTCATACTGGTCTTTTTGTCTGACAGGCCAAGTATAAGGAGCGAGGGACTGTACTGGCTGAGGACCAACTGGCCCAGGTGAGTGATTGGAAGGCTCCAGGCAGGAAGGGAGGTGGAACAGGGCTGATCATCACACTTTCGGTGTCTAGATTGTCAAGAGGGAACTAATAATGGGTGTCTGGCAAATCTGGATTTCTGCGCTTCTGTGAACATCTTTGAATGATTAGACTTGTGCATTTCCCCTTTCTCCTTCCTCTATATTTTATTACTTTTCCTTTTTTGTTATTTTACTTTAATAAAAAGTGGGTTTAGGATGTAGCTCAGAGGTAGAATGTTTGCCTAATATTCTCAAGTACTTGTGTTCTATTCCCAGCACAGCAAATATATAAACAACTTTTTAAAAAAATCAGAGATAGCTCCTGTTTAGAGTAGCAAACGGTCTCTCTTCCTTTCCCCTCCTTGAAGTTAAAACATAGTGCTAATGGGGCTGGAGAGATGGCTCAGCGGTTAAGAACACTGACTGCTCTTGCAGAGGACTTGGGTTCGATTCCCAGCACCCACATGGCGGCTACAAACCATCCTTAACTCCAGTTCCAGGGGAATCTGAAGCCCTTTTCTGACCTCTGTGGCATTTTGTGACATGGGTGCACTCACTTACAAGCAGGCAATACACTGATACACATAAAATAAAAATAATAAAATATTTTTTTAAAAAAAGATTGTAGTGGCCTCTGTAGAAATTTGTGGTTCTAACAGGGTATTTATTTATTTTGGTATATCGAGAAAGGGTCTCCCTGTAGCCCCAGCTGGCCAGAAACTCACTATGTAGACCAGACTGGCCTCAGTCTCACAGAGGTCCACCTGCCTCTGCCACCCAAGTGCTGGGATTAAAAGCATGTACCATCACACCTGGTCCGTAACAGGGTCTTTTAAAAAAAATTATTTTTTATTATGTGTATGACTGTATTGCCTGCATGTATGTAAGTGTACTGGTGCTGTGCAGTGCCCTCGGAGACCAAAAGAGGGCATCGAATCCCCTGGAATTGAAGTTACAGATGGTCATTAGCTGCCATGTGGGTGCTGGGAATTGAACCTAGGTCCTCTGCAAGAGCAGCCAGTGCTCTTAACTGCTGAGCCATCTCTCCAGCCTCCCTAACAAGGCCTTTAAAGTTTATTTTATTTATTTGTATTTTTTAGGTATATGAGTGCTTTCCTACATATATGAGTGTATCATGTGCACACAGTGTCAGCAGAGATCAGAAGAGGGCATTGGATCCCTTGGACCTGGAGTTTTAAATTGTTCTTAGCTGCCATATGGGTGCTGGGAACTGAACCTGGGTCCTCTGCAAGAACAACCAGTGTTCTTAATCACTGAGCCATTTCTCTAGCCTCCTGACAGTCTTTTTGTGATAGTTACTATCAGGTAGTCATAGCTGTTAACTCTTCTTTCATAAGTTCCTGATGTTATTTACTTTCTTCTCCTTCCCTCCCTCCCTCCCTTTGATAGAACCCATTATGTAATTATGTAGCTTGAGCCAGCTTGGAACTCACTATGAAATCATGATCCTTCTGCCTCATCCTGGGGTTTTATTTTAAAGCTTTTTTTTTGGTAGAGTTGACACAAGAAACTCCATTTTGATTTTAAGAACTTTCAGATTTCTTTCACACCAAGAAAAAAGGAACTCTTATTCCTAGTTTGGAATTGAGGACACCGAGGCATTAAGTAATTTACTCAAGATTATATGGTAAGTGGCAGAAATTTTTTTTTTTTGAGACAGGGTCTCATGTTGTCCAGGCAGGTTTTGAACTTCTGATCTTCCTGCTTCACTTCCTGAGTTGCTGGAATTACAGACATATTTCACAATGCTATCTTAATTATTTAATTTGTTTTTGTCCTGCTGGGACTTTAACCTGGGGCTTCATGCATGCTAGGCAAGCTCTCTACCACTGAGCTTCATCCAAAGCCCTATTTGTTTAATTATTTTAATCATTTTATTTTAATTATCTGAGATGGGGCTTGCTATGTTGCCCAGGCTAGTCTGGAACTCCCAGGCTTGGATGATCTCCCAGTTAGTCCCTGAATAGCTGGGATGCAGGCCTATAGCACCACATCAGTTTGGAGTGCTATTTGATTTAGATCTTTGAGGCTCTTACTTTAGTTTTTTTTTTGTGGTGCTTGTTATTAAAGCCAGGGCCTGACCCATGCTGAGCATGTGATCCATGACTGAGCTGTGCCCCATGCTGTCAGCTTTTATTTGAAATATCTCACAATAATGAAAATTACTTAACCTGTGGCATCTACAGTGTCATAACATCTAGGCACACAGGAGGGTGTATGAGAGACGGGATACATTTTTCTTCTCTAGCACCTACCTTTTCTGTACATACTCTGAATGTACTTGAGTATTGTGATTGGTAAAGAGGAGGAGGTGGTGGTTCAGCTGGAAAATGGGCCCTTGAACTGAGGAAAAATAGAAAGATAGAATGTCTTTAAAATTTTTATTTTATTTTTAAAGATTTATTTTTACTTTCATGTGTATGAGTTTTGCCTGCGTGTATGTAAGTGCACCATGTGCATGCAATGCCCACAGAGGGCTTTGGATTCCCCTGGAACTGGAGCAGTAAGCGGTTGTCAGCAGCCATGTGGGTGCTGGGAACCAAATTTAGGTTCTCTTAACCACTGAGAGAACTCTTTGGCCCCACACCTAATTCTTTTTCTGGCGTTGATTCCCAAAGAAGTCCATGACTCGGGTTCAGTAACCACTGCAACCCCCATGTATCTCAGCCTTCATTCTTCCTTTTAGTGGCTAGATGACATTTCTTCTTATGGGAACACTATATTCTCTCTCTTCTCCCTCTCTTAAAACTTACTATATAGACCAGGCTTGTCTTGAACTCTCAGAGATCTGCCTGCTTCTGCCTCTGACCCAGCCCTGTTCTCTGATTTTTAAGACTAATGGATTGTCAAGTGTACCTTCAGTTTAATAAGTTTTTCTGGGAAGAAGAAAAGAAGCTATACATGTTGATTGTTAGGACAGGGATACAGGAAACAAAAAACAAGACACAGATTTCAGAATGGAGGAAACAAAACTCTGCAGAAGCAGGGATAGGAAGAGGGCACAAAGACAGGTGTCTTGGCAAATGCCTGTAAATTCAGTGCCTGAGAAGTGGCAGAAGGATCAGGTGTTCAAGGTCATCATCTGCTAATCAGTGACTTTTAGCCAAACTAGGCTACATGAGACCCTGTCTCCAAAAAGGACAAAAACTAGTGCTGGGTGTGGTGGTACATGCCTTTCATTCCAGCATTTATTTGGGAGGCAGAGGCAGGTGGGTCTCTGAGATCAAGGCCAGCCTGGTCTACATAGTTCCAGGCCAGTTGGAGTGCAGGGAGACCCTGTCAGAAAAATAAAAAACAAACAAACAAACAAAAATCAAAAAACAAGACACAGTAAACTATATAATGTTGTTATTTTAATTTTATTGTTGCATTTATTTGTGTGTGTGTGCATGACTGTTGTGTGAGCTCCTACTACAGTGTGGAAGTCAGAGGATAGCTTGTGGGAGTCAGTTGGATGGAGAGTCTTCCATCCTATGGGACCCAGGGATTGAACATAGATCATTAGGCTTGGTGGCAAACACCTTTACTCATGAGCTATCACACTGGCCGGAGACTGGTTATTTTAGACTTTCTTCTGCCTCTGGGCTAGGGACCTATTTTTGGTCTCTGATGATCATTTGGGTTGCCTTCATCTCCCCCTTGTCCATCTTAACAGATGTCAAAGCAGTTGGACATGTTCAAGACCAACCTAGAGGAATTTGCCAGCAAGCACAAGCAGGAGATCCGGAAGAATCCTGAGTTCCGAGTACAGTTCCAGGACATGTGTGCTACCATTGGGGTGGATCCTCTAGCCTGTAAGGACTTTTTTGTATAGGGTCCTGTGCCCTTGTAAGGCCTTTGAGAGACAGACACTCACCTGTTATCATCACTGCTGGGGGGGCATCCTCTAGATGGTCCTGCAAGGAAATATGGAGGACGTTGCCTTTAGTGAGCACCTAGGATGTGGTGTGTCCTGTCTGATGGGGAAGTTGGAAAGCCTGGAGTGTGGGCCGAGTAGTTTGTGGGTGTCATCCTCCCTTGGATGGTCTTTTGTAGTGGCCTGTTTGTTTGTTTGTTTGTTTGTTTGTTTGTTTGTTTTGAGACAGGGTCTCCTGTAGCCCTAGCTCTCACCAAACAGACAAATGGCTGTCCAGGGGGGAGTCCCAGGGGCCACCTGTTTCTTTCTTCTCAGTGCTGGGATTACAGACTCTTGCCACCAAGCTCTGTTTTCTACATTCTGTTCTGAGGCTCACATTTCATGCCCTCATGCTTGTAGGGCAAACACGTTACTGTCACAGCCATCTTCCTAGCCACTTCTCCCCCCACCTCCCTTAACATCTCTGGATCTATAAGCTGTCTCTCTCCTATTAGCCTGGTTACATATCTTCTTACCATTTGTGTTCAGAAGTGAGTTTGGATTCTAGTGTCACTTTGGCCTGAGCAAAGAAAAATGGGCCCAGTCTGGTCTTTTTCAGACAGGGTCTCCCTGTAGCCCCAGGTGGCCTGGAACTCACTATGTAGACTAGGCTGGCCTGGAACTCTCAGAGAGCCACCTGCCTCTGCCACCAGAGTGCTGAGATTAAAGGCTTGTGCCATCACGCCCGGCACAAAAATAATTTTTTAGGACAGTAGTATGGGATCATGCTGTTGGACAACAAAGAGCTATATGGAGGAGAAAGTAGATGTTTCTCGATCCTGTCCTATAATTATAGATGTTAAGTACTATTGGTAGTTTAAGGTACAATTGGTCCCTGATTTAAGGTGTTTCTGTGTTGTAGTTCCTGTTAAAATTGATTTATTTAGTATATGCATATGAATATTCATATGCATGTATGTATGTGTATACTACATGCATGCCTGGTGCCCTTGGAGATCAGAAGAGGACATTGTATCCCTTGGAACTGGAGATACAGATGGTTATGAGCTGCTATGTGGGTGCTGGGAGCTGATCCCTGGCCCTTTGCAAGAGCAGCAAGTGCTCTTAACCACTGACCATTGCTCCAGCTCCTGTTGTTTTTTTGAGATAGGGTTTGGGTATGTAGTCCTGGCTGGCCTGTAACTTACCATGTAGCCAAGGTAGCAGTCCTCTTGCTGAACCTCTTGAGTAGTAAGATGAAAGGCAGGAACTACTATATCCAGTTTTTCAAAATTATTTTCTTTTTTCTTTTTTTGTGAGACAGAGTCTCATGTAGACTCTGTAGATGGCCTCAAACTAGCTGTGTTGCCAAGATCTTGAACTCATAATTCTCCTACCTCTACTTCTCAAATGCTAAAGTACAGGTGTGTGCTACCATGCCCACCTTAGAATGAATTTTCAGTTTAGAGTGGGTGGGTTTATTAGGACATAATCCCATTGTATGTTGAGGAGCTTCTGTATATCTAGACAGCTTCTTTTTTTTTTTTCTTTTTTTGGTCTTTTTGAGACAGGGTCTCCCTGTAGTCCCAGCTGTCCTGGAACTCACTATGTAGACCAGGCTGGCCTTGAACTCACAGAGATCCACCTGCCTCTGCCTCCCCAGTGCTGGGATTAAAGGTGTGTGCCACCACTCCCGGCAGCTTCTTTTTATTTATTTATATTTGTGTGTACGTGTGTGTGCCTACGTGTGTTTATATGTACCGCATGACTGCAGGTGCCCACAGAAACCATAACAGGATGTTGGATGCCCTGGAACTGGAGTTACAGGCAGTTGTGTGCTGGGAACTGAATCTAGGTCCTTTGCAAGAGCAGCAAGTGCTCTTAACCTCTAATCCACCCTCTGGCCCCTAGCCAGTTTCTTTTTGTTTGTGTCTATGTGTATGTAATGAGTGCGTACATGTTCAGGTGCACATGGAGGTCAAAGAATAACCTTGGGTGTTGTTCCTTAGGTGCTTTCCACCTTCTTTTTGAGATGGGTCTCTGGCTTAGAATTTAGCTAGTAGGCTAGGCTGCCTATGTAGTGAGTCTCAGGATCTGTTTATCTCTGCCTCCTTAGCACTGGAGTTATAAACCTACTCCATGTGCCTGGCTTTTGTTTGTTTTTGAGACAGTGTTTCTCTGTAACCCCAGCTGACCTGGAACTCACTATGTAGACCAGGCTGGCCTCACTCACTATGTAGACCAGGCCTCACAGAGCTCTGCCTGCCTTTGCCTCCTGAATGCTGAGGTTAAAGTTGTGCATCACCATGCTCTGTCCATCCCTTTTTTACCCCCTTGAGTCAGGATCTCATGTATCCCTTGCTGGCCTCAAAATGTCTCTGGAGCTGAGAATGGTCTTGAGCTGCTGACCCTCCTGCTTCTCCGTTCAGAATGCTGGGATACAGGTGTGCACTCTGTGTTGATATGCCTGGCTCAGAGGCTCTTGAGTTGTAAGTAGAGCAGGACTTAGGCTTAGGATATCCCACAGGATAGATATTTTAATCCAGTGTTGAAAAGATGGAAGGAATGAAAATGAATGAATAATCTACCTTTTGTTTTTCTGTCTTTAGCTGGAAAAGGATTTTGGTCTGAGATGCTAGGCGTTGGAGACTTCTATTATGAGCTGGGTGTCCAAATTATTGAAGTGTGCCTGGCCCTGAAACATCGGAATGGAGGTAAGGGTAGTTGGGTCTTGTGGACTGGGCTTTAGAGTTCTCTGATTTCTGTCCTGTAGTCTGCATGCCTGCAAAGTCTCGAAACATAGCTCCACAACCAAGGTTAAATAATAGGAAGGTGGGAGGTTGGCCTTATGCTCTGGTATACAATATGTCTGGGTTATGTTCTTATTGTGACTATAGACCTGCCCTGTCTCTGAAATATGGTGATGCCAGCAGAGTCTCCGAGCTCCCTAGAATCTGACCTTAAAGCCTGATCAGCTGAGTTTGATCTCTGGAACCCACATAAAGGTGGAAGGAGAGAATTGAGTTCACAGAGTTGTCCTCTGACCTCTGTATGTGTTGTAGCACATGCAAACTACCCATTCACATAATACATATAATGCACAGTAATAATAAATAAAAAGAAAATTGATCATCTGGCTGAGCCTGCTGGGGGCATACCCATAATTCCATCACACAGAAGGCTGGGGCAAAATCATGAATTGGAGTTCCGCCTGGACTAAATAAATAGTTTATTTATTTAATAAACTACCTGGGTTATACAATGAGTCCCTATCTCAATAACACAAAACAAAGCCAGCTGTGATGTAGTACACTTACAATCCTAGCACTTGGGAGGTAGAGGCAGGAGGATCAAGAGTTCAAAGTCACCCTCAGATACATAGTGGAGGGTGGGCAAGACCTTCTCTCAAAGAAACGAAACAAGGTGCCGTTTGGTAGCACCATCTTTTCTTTCCCTTTTTTAAAATAACATCTCACTATAAATCCCAGGTTAGCCTGGAACTTGTATTTTGCTTGTGCTGGTCGCAAACTTGTGATTTCTTCTTCCTTAGCCTCTTGGAGTGCTAGAATTACAGGATTGAGACACCATGCATGGCTCTATCATCATCTTGTATTCTTTCCACATTTTATTTGTTTAATTAGAAATATGTATATGCGTGAACACATGCCACAGTACATGTGTGGAGGTGAGAGGACAACTTTTGGGAGTTGATTTTCTCCTTCCATGTCCATCCTGGTACTAGAATTCAGGTCATCAGTCCTTGTGGGAGACACCTTTACCCACTGAACCATCTTGCCAGCTCCTCCATCTTCTTTTTCTTTTCTTTTTTATTGTATTTTATTTTATGTGTATGAGTGTATTGCCTGCATGCATGTAAGTGCACCCCTGTCATGCAATGCTCACAGAGGTCAGAAGAGGGTTTTGGATCCTCTGGAACTGGAGTTTCAGACAGTTGTTAACTGCTGTTTGGAATCAAACCCAGGTTCTTTGCAAGAGCAGTCAGCGCTCTTAACTGCTGAGTCCATCATGGCAGAGAGGCATGGCAGCAAACATGGCTAGAGAAGGAGGGAAGCAAAGCTCTCATATCCACTGTGTAGACCAGGCTGGCCTTGAACTCACAGAAATCCGCTTGCCTCTGCCTCCTGAGTGCTGGGATTAAAGGTGTGCGCCACCACGCCTGGCTCTTTGTTTTTTTTTAAGTTCTGTGTGTGTGTGTGTGTGTGTGTGTGAGAGAGAGAGAGAGAGAGAATATGAATATGCCATCTATGTGTGAGTGTCTATGGAGGCTAGAAGACAGGCATCAAATACTTTGGAGCTGGAATTACAGGTTTTTGTGATGGGAATAGAAGTCAGGACCTCTGGAAGAACAGCAAGTGCCCTCATTTGCTGAGCTATCTCCCCTGCCCCTTCATTGTTTTTTCAGGCAAGGTCTCACTATGATCCCGGACGGGCCTGGAAATTCATAGTCTGCCTCAGTCTCCTGAGTGCAGGAAATGTAGGCATAAGCCACCATGCTTATCTGCTGCCTTTGTTTGAGGTTTTCCTGGGCCTCCCCTACTAAAAATTCTTTTTTTTTTAAAATTTATTTTATGTGTATGAGTGTATTGCCTGCATGTAAGTAAGTGCACCCGTGTCATGCAGTGCCAGCAGAGGATAGAAGAGGCTGTCGGATCCCCTGGAACTGGAGTTGCAGACATTTTTTAGCTGCGATGTGGTTGCTGGGATTCAAACCTGCAAGAACAGTTTTGTTTTGTTTTGTTGTCTGCTTCTGATGTTTTTCTTTCTCCTTTCTTTTCTTTCTTTCTTTCTTTCTTTCTTTCTTTCTTTCTTTCTTTCTTTCTTTCTTTCTTTATTTCTTCCTTTCTTTCTTTCTTTCTTTCTTTCTTTCTTTCTTTCTTTCTTTCTTTCTTTCTTTCTTTCTTTCTTTCTTTCTTTCTTTCTTTCTTTCTTTCTTTCTTTCTTTCTTTCTTTCTTTCTTTCTTTCTTTCTTTCTTTCTTTCTTTCTTTCTTTCTTTCTTTCTTTCTTTCTTTCTTTCTTTCTTTCTTTCTTTCTTTCTTTCTTTCTTTCTTTCTTTCTTTCTTTCTTTCTTTCTTTATTTCTTCCTCCTTTATTTCTCTATTCTTTTATTTATTATTTTAGTTTGCATGCATTAATGTATTGCTTGCATGAATGTAAGTGCTCCCATGCCATGCAATACCCGGATGTCAGATGGGGGCGTTACTGGAGTTACAGGCAGTGGTTAGCTGCCATGTTGGTGCTGGGAAGTAAACCCAGGTTTCTGCAAGAATAGCCAGTGCACTTACTGCTGAGCCATTTCTCCAGTCTAAAAAGTGGGGTTCTAAGGGTGTGCTCAGTGGTGGAATGCTTGTCCAGCATGCACAAGTCCCCCCTGACTTCATCTCCAGCTCTGGGGAAATGTTTTACATTTGAACTATTTTTTTTATTTTATGTGTATGAGTGTTATGCCTACATGTAGGAAAGTGCACCTGTGTCGTGCAGTGCCCACAGAGGACTTCGGATCTTCTGGAACTGAAGTTACAGATGGCTGTTAGCTGCCATGTGGGTGCTAGGATTCAAACTCTGGTCCTCTGCAAGAACAGTCAGTGTTCTTAACTGCTGAGCCATTTCTTCAGCCCCTTAGAGCTTTTAATTAAAAAAAAAAATTTTTTTTAAGTGAATGCATGTATTACCTGCATGTAGGTAAGTGCACCTGTGTTTGTGCAATGCCCTCGGAGGACAGAGGAGGCTGTCGGATCCCCTGGAACTGGAGTTACAGACAGTTGTTAGCTGCCATGTGAGTGGGTGCTGGGATTTGAACCCAGGTCTTCTGCAAGAAGAGCCAGTGTTCTTAATCACTGAGCCATCTCTCCAGCCCCCCTAGAACTTTTTATTCTCTATTCTTCCTATGTCTATGTTAGCTTTGGAAGTACTTTCATTCCTCTGTGTGATAAGAAAACATTCCTTTTTTTTCCCTTTTTCCTTTTTTTTGATGGTATTGTGGATTGAACCCAAGGGCTTATGCTAGGCAAGCACTCTATGACTGAACAACACCCTTGGACCTTTAAAAATTTTTGTTTGAAACAGACAGTCATGTATCCCACACTGGCCTCAAACTGCAGCAGAGGATTACCTTGAACTTCTGAGCCTTTTTTCCCCCATCTTTTCTTTTTCTGTTTTTGGTAATTTTGAAACTGGGTCTCCTTTTAGCTCCAGCTGACCTGGAACTCGCTATGTAAACCTGGTTGGCCTCGATCTCCCAGAGACCTGCCTGCCTCTGCCTCCCGAGTGCTGGGACTAAAGGTGTGTGCCACCACACCTGGCTCCACCTTTTCTTATCACTATTATTTATTTTTATTTTATGTGTATGTTTTGCCTGCATGTATTTAAGAGCACCCATGTTGTGCAGTGCCCAGACAGGCCAGAAGAGAGCATTGGATCCCCTGGAACTGGGAGTTAGATAGTTGTTACCTGCCATGTGGATGCTGGGAAACCAACCTGAATTCTTTTCAAGAGCAGTCAGTGCTCTTAACTGCTGAGCCATCTCTCCAATCCCTATCTCCATCTTCTTAAAAACCAAAACTTCATCCCACACATACACATAAAAAAAAAGAAAACAGGTGCAGTGGCTCATGTCTGTTATCCTGGCTACTTTAGCGGCTGTGGCAGGAGGATCACAAATTTGAGGCCAGTCTGGGCAACTTGTCAAGACCCTGTCTTAAAATGAAAACATTTTTAAAATTTATTTTTATTTTATGTGTATCAGTGTATTGCCTGCATGTATGTAAGTGCACCTGTGTCATGCAGTACCCATGAAGGACATAAAGGGTGTTGGATCCCTGGAATTGGAATTATGGATAGTTGTTAGCCACTATGTGGGTGCTGAGATTCAAACCCAGCTCTTCTGCAAGAACAACCAGTGCTCTTAACTGTTGAATTATCTCTCTAGCCCCTTCAAAATAAAAATTTAAAAAGGAAACTGATATGTGACAAGCCTGTGATCCTAGCCCTTGGGAGGCAGAGGCAGGATTGCCCACAGTTTGAGGCTAGTCTGGTCTACATAGTAAGTTTAGGCCAGTAAGGCTGTCTCAAAAACCCAAAACTAATAAAAATAAAGGGTCAGCAAAAAAAATTTTTTTTAGCTGAGCACAGTGGTGCATGCCTTTAAATCCTAGCACTTGGGGAGGAGGCAGAGGCAGGTAGATCTCCAAGACTTTGGGCTATCCTGGTCCACATAGCACATTCCAGGCCAGCCAGTACTACATAGTGAGATCCTATCTCGAAAAAACAAAGGGTTGGAAGCCAGACATGGTGGCTCATGCCTATAATACCAACACGTGGGACTCTGAGGCAGGATTGCTGAGTTCAAGGCTGTAAAATGAGGCCATGCTTCAAAATACCACACATACTCAAAAGCTGGGAATGTAGCTTAGTTGGTAGGAGCTTGTCTACTATGCATGAAACCTTGGGTATAGTCCCCAGCACCACGTAAAGTAGCTTAGTGATGTACATCTGTGATTCTGGCACCACGGAGATGGAAGCAGGAAGCTCAAAGTCATTGTTAGCTATAGCAAGTTTGAGGTCAACCTGGGCTACGTAACACACATACTCAAAAGCTGGGAATGTAGCTTAGTTGGTAGGAGCTTGTCTACTATGCATGAAACCTTGGGTATAGTCCCCAGCACCACGTAAAGTAGCTTAGTGATGTACATCTGTGATTCTGGCACCACGGAGATGGAAGCAGGAAGCTCAAAGTCATTGTTAGCTATAGCAAGTTTGAGGTCAACCTGGGCTACGTAAGACCCTGTCTGGGGGAAAAAAAAAAAAAAAGGTGACTAGGTTGTAGCTCAGTGGCAGAACTAGTATGTATGTTGTTTTGGGTTTGATCTCTAGCACTAATGAAAATAAAAATCCATTTCTCAATTAAAATTACTACATGTATTTTTCATGCATATTTTTAATGTGCTTGGGGCTCTACATGCTCTTGAGATTATTTGTGAAGGAGCCTAGAGTAAGCACCTAGAAAGGCTGGGGACTGAGGTGAGGATCAGGTGATGGGGCGTAGATTGATCTGGTTGGCCAGTTTCTGTGAGTCCAAGTTGAGAAAAGATAAATGGTCGTTCTAGATGTAGCTCCCAAGATTCCAGCCCAATGTGACATTATGAAGACCTAGGATATTAAAAAAAAAAAAAAAAAAAAAAAGCAACGGTAAATGATTGCAATGCCAGGTGTGGTGGCGCATGCCTTTAATCCTAGCACTCGGGAGGCAGAGGCAGGCAGATCTTTGTGAGTTCAAGGCCAGCCTGGTCTACATAGTGAGTTCCAGGACAGCTGGGGCTACATGGAGATCTGTCTCAAAAAGAAAAAAAAAAGCTCCCCCAAAAAGATTGCCAGCCATGCCATTGTACACTGGTTCTTAGGAGGATGAGCTGGTGTGATAAGAAACAGATTTCTGTCTCCTCTAGTGTATAACAAGAGCATTCTAATCATGAAGTTGTCTCCCTGGCAGTGGGCATTAATCTCAAGTGTTTGTGCTTTGTGATCCACACATTGTTGAATGGGTTTTCTTTTTCTCTGAGTTAGCTGTCAGCTAGTCAGAAAGGGTGGCAAGACTGGATAGAATTTCCAAGGGGGAGTAATCAGCTGTTGCCATCTTTAAAAATGGGTGAGTGTTCTCTGGTTTGCTGTAGTTCACACTGCGGCCTTTGGCTGTTGTTTTACTCAGAGCTGAGTGTGCATCACTGTCAGGTCTGATCTGCCAGGTGTCTTTAAGCTGCTCTTCCTCACCTCAGAGACGACCTGATCAGGGCCATCAAGAAACTGAAAGCACTGGGCACTGGCTTCAGCATCATCCCTGTGGGCGGCACTTACCTCATTCAGTCTGTTCCAGCTGAACTCAATATGGATCACACCGTGGTGCTGCAGCTGGCAGAGGTAGGGGGGTGCCTTTGAGAGTGTGAGTGGCAGCCTAGGCTGGAGTCAGAGTGGTTCTTATCTGCCTGGTACACAGGCCTGTTACAGAGGCTGTCTTCTTGATGAACTACTCAGGCCTGTGCTCATTCAATAGACATTTATTGGGCATTTACAGAGGCTGTCTTCTAGACATTTAATAGACATTTATTGGGCATAGACAGGGGTCACACAGCCTCTGCCCTTGAGCTTACAGTCTAGTCAAGTAGACAGACATGCAGAGACCTAACTATATTTCATAGAGGAGATGAACCCTCCCAATGGCTTAAACTAATTTTGGAGCTTCTTAAGTTTTAAACTTTATTACAACAAATTTTAAACTTTGTGACTTTGTCATTCCTTAGCATGATCCCCATCCCATCCCCGACTTAAAGAACATGCATTAACCTTAATTCTGTAATATAAAACAAAAGTAGATGAGCAAGGGGCTTTTAATGGAGGATGGGTAGGGTGAGGCAGGGAGTGGATGTATATTTAAATATTTAGATGAAGTTTAGAATTACCCCCATTCCTTCCCTCTTGGTAATTCATTCTGAATCTTCCCTTGGCATACCCGAGAGTTTGTTGAGGAAGTCTAATTTGGTATCTTAAAAGTGCCTCACACCCTGCTATTTAGGACTGAACTCCCCAAACTTGCCTCTATTACCCTGAAAGTCACTTTGATCTGCTGGGACTTTAGACATTCTCTGTGCTCTCAGGCTTGACCCAGGGTAGCCTGGCCAGATAAATGGGCTGTTTCTGGGCAGATGCTGGGCTCTAGGGAACAGGCACTGTCAACTGATTTAAGTCCCTATTCCTCCTTCCTCCAGAAAAATGGGTACGTGACTGTCAGTGAAATCAAAGCCAGTCTTAAATGGGAGACAGAGCGAGCGCGGCAAGTGCTGGTACGTGATTCAGTCACCCAGAAGAGATGGGCCCCAGTTAGGAGGTGGGCTTCATGCGGCAGCCACTTGTCTTGCTCTGCTCCTTCTTGCCTGGAAGGCTGCTGCTATAGCACTAGCAGTAAGCCCAGCATGTCTGTGGATGGCACTGAGAAGGCAGAACTTACTAAGGCTGGCCTCTGACCCAAGTGCATGGAATGCTAACTGCCTGCTATGAGGGACCAACCATTCCACTTGCTCTCCCAGACACATGGAACCTGGAGCTGTCAGTCAGGGGCATAATACCGTTGATGATGGAAATTATCAATAGAGAATTGGCTACTTGCTACTAAAGATCATTACCTCTGTAATTACAGACTATAAGCATTGCATATTATGTGTGTATAATTTTGTATATAAACTTGTGCTAGTGAAACACTACTGAGGCTGAGAGACAGCAGGATAGAGCAGCCCTGGTTTCAGCATCTTTTTCCTTCTTAGCAGTTCACTTGTCCTTGCACTTCATCCGCAAAATAGGACATAAGTATCTGCCTGATCGTATTGGACAAAGCTCATCTTGAGTGTGTTTGCAGCTTAGGCATCTAAGTTCATTGTAGTAAAAATATGGTCCTTCCCATTCTCAGCCAGAATAACATCCCCCACTTTGCTCCAGGGAGAGGAGATAGAGGTGGCAATTCCAAGGCTAGACGGCAAATACTGCTGTAGCCTTGCTTTCCACTGTGCCCTGGCTTTACCTCTTCTCCCCTGGCATTGTTTTTCACCTTGGGCCAAAGCCAAACCCGATCACTCCCATTTAGGTATGTAATTGAAGGCACATGTAGGCTGTCTGCACGCTTCTCAAAAGCTAAAGTAGGTTTCAGGGCTGCTTTGCTCCCATGATGTACTTATAACCTTTCCTTTCTCAAATTAGTCCTACTCTTCCCTCCAGGAACACCTGCTGAAGGAAGGGCTGGCCTGGCTGGACCTGCAGGCTCCAGGGGAGGCCCACTACTGGCTGCCAGCTCTCTTCACAGATCTCTACTCCCAGGAGATCTCAGCTGAGGAGGCCAGAGAAGCCTTCCCTTGACTGAGTGCAGAGGGGTACACAGCAGCAGGCCAGAGGGGAGACCTGTCTGAATAAACCTGGACAGTTTTGTTTATAAAAAGAGCTAAGTTCCAAGTTTTTCTTTCTTTCCTCCCCCAATACTTTATTTTTAAAAGTGCCTTCACATCACATCTTTTTTGGAGGAAGCCTCAATTTATCCAGTAAGGATAACAAGCAAGCACATAAAATGACTTGCCCAGAACATCTAGATTCAGAGGAACTGGGCCCAGATGCACTGTCTCCTGGCTAGCCTTGAAGCAGCTGTGAGACACATGAGCACTTCTGATTCAAGTCCCACATTCTTTTGCATTCAAACAGACCTAGACTCTCATGGTATTTCAGTCTCTTCCAGTGTCTTCTATGGATGTTCTAGGATAGGACAGACTGAACTATGTGAAGGAAACCAAAGTATGGTGTTAGGAGGAGGAAAGCACTGGAACTTGAGGGGAATCAGTCAATACTGCATTTTGCTCAAATTTCTTCCTAGCCCCTGCCCCTAGACCAGGTCCTGCAGGCTCAGTGGCTAGCAAGGGGACTTCTTAATGCCTACCCTGTGCTTCTACACACACTAACATTTTGTCCTTACAGTAACTTTCTGTTAAGCAGGTATCCTCAATGTCATAGCTGAGTCAAAATAAGCTGATGGCTAGAGGCCGTCAGCTTAAGCAGGGCCAAAGTTAGAGCCTTATACCACTAACCCCAGAGCCCACCTTCCTCTATCATGCTTTGTACAGCACAGGCTGGCAGAACATACGTATGCACAGACATTTCCTACACATATGGTCAGCCAAGAGGAAAAAGCCTTGCCTCAGAAAAAAAGATTCTCCCCCAGTGAGGTGGTCATGGGGAAAAGGATGGAGTTTACAGTCCAGCAAGTGCTGGGTTAGTACCAGGACGCTGAAATCCAACAGCTTCTGCATTTAGACACCCTTCCCTCAGCAGACACACAGCCTGGGCCGTCTGACTTCATCTGTACTTGCAGGGGACACACATTCCTGTTGCAGAAGAGCTTTCTTTTGAAGCCAGTGACTGTTTCTTTCATTAGTACTACAGCCTCAAAAAAGTGCCATTCCATTTCCAATCCGTACAAAGTGAGCCACTGATAGTCCCCCCACCTTCACAGGAGAACCCCCGCCCCAAACTCCAGCTTCCAGACCCAGCTGAGGTGTGGCAGTTACCAATTCCGTGTTTTCTTCACAAAAACCTTCCCATAGCCGCAGGCACCTCCTCATTCTGCCAAAACAAATTTTATTGCACCAAAAAGGAAAAAAAAAACAAAACAAAACTTCATTTATGTACAGTCAGATATAAAGACATCTCTTTGACTCCTGTGCATATATTTCCTCAATTTAAGATTAGGGAGTAAAAGTCAGGCTGCTATGCCAGACATGCTCTGCCCCATGGCAGGGCCAAGGAGAAGATTGTCACTTGAAAATGGGAACACTCAAATGGATAACAGACAACACTGGACCCATAGCCCAAAGGCTTTCTCTGCCCTGGACTAGCTCTAGGAATGGAAGAGGGAAATTGGAAGCAGGGTCCCTTTTCAAGTCTCTCTGTTGAGACCCAGCCTTTAGGTATCCAAGATAAACTTCTGTTCCCCAAGTGAACTGCTCCCTGTCCAGTTCCTCTGCTTCCTGCCCTCCCAAGAAGGTCCCTGTTTGTGCCGTCTCCATTTCTCCATGGGAGTTCTATGATCCACAAAGCAGAGACCTTTGTTTATAGCAGCGGGCAGAGCAGGTAGGTTATCCACTCTTCCTCAAGGTGGACACTGAATAGAGGAGGGCCTGCATCATATGGATCACCAACCACCTACTGGGAGCCAGAACAAACTCTGGAAAGTAGAACACATCAAACTGGAAAGGATGGTTTCCTTTGACCTCCACTCCCTCAGGCATTTGAAATCATTTTTCTGACTCAACCAGCTAAAGGATCACTGTAGCTAAATACAGAGAAGCAACATAGCTAGGAACACCCTCAGAACCAGTGACAAAGAGCATCTGGGAGGAGGAGGCAATGAGGGGAGAAGCCTTCAGAGCTGAGACCTAATCCCCCTCTGCCACTGGCTGCCTGTGTTCCACACAAATCCCTGGGGGCTGAAGGGAAGATGGGATATATGGGCTGGGATGAAAATACACAAGGACAGCCAAACAAAATAAGGACTAGCATCAGTCTCCCAGGGCCCACCCTAAGAAACACCCTCATTGACTAGTGCTCAGGAAAATCTGTAAGGGACTACTTTATGTAGTGGCTTGAATCCCATACACGCTGCAGCTGCCTGTGTTGGGAACCTTTCAAATCAGTGATTGTGGGAACACAATACACAGCTTCTAGTGCCTGCATCGGCTTCATCAAGACCTGGGCTGTCCCGGTCTGGTCTACCAAACGCTGAGGAAATGGGGGCAAGGGAGAAAGGTGCTCAGGTGCTAGGTAAAGCTTACTGATCAGCAGCCTAGACTCCACCACTGTTCCTTCTCTTTGGTCTGTCTAGAACAGTGACTATAAATTAGGAAAAACAAAGTTATGCTGGCCCGTGGGAAATAATGGGAGAGGGGAGGGAGGAAAAGGGCGTTGGGAAGCCCTGCTTCAAGACTGAAGACAAAACGGTTAACCACCCAGACTGTGTGTCACAGACAGCCCCCCACCCCAAATTCCCTATGAACCACTTGGACATGCTCCCTCTTGGAATTGCAGTTTCTGTCTTCTCCTATCCCTAAGGAGCTGGCCCTGTGGAGAGGTGTGTTGGTTGTTTAGCTTTGCCAGGAGGCCATTGCTCCAGGTACTATAGCACAAGTACCTTGGCTCTGATCCAGGACTGAATATAGCCCCAGGTGCTCCAGCACCAAGGAGGTCATATTGAGAGCAGCCCCGACTCCCACACCCTGGAATCGAGCTGGCTTGCTTCTTGAAAGAGCCATCTTGCCAGATGCCATCACGTTTGGAGGGAGATGCACAGTGCCTCTCCATCCCTGGGGCGAGGGGAAGGGGCTCTGCTGGGATCTTGAATGGGGGAAGGAGCAGAGGAGCAGGGTCTAGACCCTCAGGCTCCCATGCAGGTCTGTCTCTGTCCCAGATGAGCTGCTGTCAGAGTCCATTTCAGCGTTCTCATTATGGAGCCTTTCCAGCACTTTCTGCCGAATCAGTCCCAGGCGCATCAAGAGGGACTGGTAGTCAAAGTGGCCTCGCTTCTCTCCAAAAGGGTCCTGTGGGGGAAAGGAGACGGGGATGGAAGATTCAAGTCTGTGGCTCAGGCTAGAGAGCAGTTTTGGACCCATGTGAAATGCATGCTCATCTTCTGGGCCACAGGGACAGAGGGCACAGTACAGCATAGGTGATCGATCCAAAGGGTTCCAAATATAATAATAGTATGCTACTACCCCACACAGTTCTAGCTTGGGCTCACGTTAAATGTTCGCATTCTTCCAAAGCAAGCAAATATGCAGAAGAGGACATGGGGGACAATTCTACATGGTCTTCTGGAATTTCTAAGACATCGAGGGAAAGGAAATTCAAGATGGAGATTATAATCATTAGGCACACCTGTGTTTTCAACTAACTTCTGAAAACTCAAGGAGGAAATAATCCCTTCCATCTTCTGTCCTAACAAAGGACACTCTGCTTTTCTAAGGGCACAGGCAGGTCAAGAACTCAGCAGTGCTGACTTCCCAATAAGCCCCTGTATTCTTCCTCAAGAGACCTATGACATTCCTGTCCAGGTTTCTCTGCACTGCTCCAGGACTGCCTAGCCTTGATCTCAGCCCTTGTCATTCTAGATCAAAGATCACTAAACATTTCAGAGAATGATCTAACTGTTCTCAAAGTATAAAAAATAACCTTAACTGGAAAGCTGGACAGATGGCTTAGCAGTTAAAAGCACTTTCAGCTCTTGTAGAAGACCCCCATGGGTTTGGTTCCCAGAAACCACCAGGCAACTCACAACCAACTCCAGTTCCAGGGGATCCACCACCACCTTCTGGCCTCCTCAGGCACTGTATACATGTGGTACACTTACATGGAGGCAAAACACTCATATACATAAAGAATAAAATTGAAAGAAAAAAAAAAAACTGAAGTGGAGGGTATTAAAAAATAAAAACAGGCTGGAGAGATGGCTCAGCGGTTAAGAACACTGGCTGTTCTTGCAGAAGACCTGGGTTTGAATCCCAGCACACACATAGCAGCTAACAACTGTCCACAACTCCAGTTCCAAGGGATCTGACAGCCTCTTCTGTCCTCCGCAGGCATTGCTCAACATGGGTGCACTTACCTACGTGCAGGCAATACATGCATCCACATAAAATAAAAATGAATAAAGTATTTTTAAAAATAAAAAAATAGAAACAAATACTATATAGGGACTTTGGCAGCAATCAGTGTGGCCAGGGTTCAAACAAATGGGAGATTTCTTGGCATGGCAGTCTCAAAAAACAACTTTCACTATTACCTCTGCTGTGTGCTCTCACAAAAACACAGTCCACACTTTTCTCTTTTGTGGTTTTAGGGATAGGGCCTGGGTGGGGCCTTGTATATTCTAGGCAAGCATTCTATCAATAAACTACACTTTCAATCTACTTCTTGCATCTCCACCCACATGTTATTCTCAGGAGCAGGTGTCAGTGGGTGCCAGTCATGGTCACTGAGAGATGGCTCATCCTTTTCATTCAGAGGGTTACAGTCCCCTTATTCAGGCTGTCTGTTCTCCCAAATGTCCGTGCTGTCATTGTTGGCTCTATTTTGTCCACTCCACTCCCTTTTCCCCAGATACTGCTTCTCCCATCCTGTCTCTAACTGAATGTTGTTTTCCTTCACTAACTGAATGTTGTTAATTGCTACTGGGTACCAGTGATGAGATTGCCTGATATGGAACAAACTCAGGGAGGCTTCCTCTATGTACCCTAAAAAAGGGGTTCAGGAAACAAGTTCACCGTGAGACTGCCTTGTCCTTTGTGCTTAAGTGAGGCAAAGCAGGAAGGTAGCAGGTCCTTGAAAGCAGGATAGAGAAGCTACCTTAAGGGTGAGTATAAGAATTGGAGAAAGCTTTAAAGAGTTGAAAATACTATATGGAACAAACTCAGGGAGGCTTCCTCTATGTACCCTAAAAAAGGGGTTCAGGAAACAAGTTCACCGTGAGACTGCCTTGTCCTTTGTGCTTAAGTGAGGCAAAGCAGGAAGGTAGCAGGTCCTTGAAAGCAGGATAGAGAAGCTACCTTAAGGGTGAGTATAAGAATTGGAGAAAGCTTTAAAGAGTTGAAAATACTATAGAGGGGCTTTGGCAGCAAAGTCTGTCAACTACCCAAGCCATCGT